CATATGAGTTTTGATTAATTGCTCCTCCCCCCAGTCCTTGTCACAGCTAGTTAGTTAAGAGTTTTAATACAGATTATAATAAATTGCTATTTATATTATATAGCTAGATGTGGGAGACCCATGCTTCGGCACGAATGGGCCGGCTCCACCGTAGTGATGCTACGGCCAAGCAGGAAGCCGACGGGAAGTACGCCCAGAGGCCCAATTACCCTCCCCTTTTTTTTATGGTATAAACCGACAAACGAGCGGATGTATCCTGATGGACACCTGGAACACCAGAGGTGGTATACGTGCGTTACCGGCCTTTTGGGCAAGCATTGGTGCAATATGGTTTTCTGTGTTCCCATTCGTGCCGAAGCATGGCTCTCCGACACTTACACTTGCCCTTGTTCCTCCTCTAGCATTGTGCATGGGTAGCGCTGATTGCTTATATACCATCGTTGGCTTAGTTACCTGCTTATACCAAAACAAAAAAACAATAATTTACGAACCAGCTCAATGTTTTTGAGTATTTCATCAACTTTCAGGCACTGTTGGGTGAACTTGTAACATTTTCTCAGTATCCACTTGCAGAGCACACAAATATTTAGTTTTTCGTCCATACTAAGTACCTGAAATATATCAGATGTATTACATAGTTGTGCAATTACTTATGCATGTCCACTTGTTCGTGGCCGCACTGGCCGCACACTAATAAACGATCTCCTGGCATCATCACCAGAATATGATATCTTTGGGTCAAACTGGAAGACTGTGTGCAAAGAATTAATGAACTTGTATGAGAGTACTAGCTTTTACCCGCGGCTTCGCTCGCATCACAAAAGGATAAAAAGGAGCCTATGTGATATATACCAATACACACAGCGCCATCTATACCAATACTTTTGTTTTCCCTCGGGGATATCAAATTTTTCCGGGATAAAAAGAACTCTATTATTTAATCCAGACTTCTAACTTTACGTCTGCAAAAATTCAAAGCAATTGGTTCAGTTGTTACGGTGTGAAAGTGGCTCTGTAGAGTGTATGAATGCATAATTTTATTTTATTTTATATTGTAAATGTCTTTGTTGTTATTATTGTTAAAACGTGTCATAAGGGTAAAGTTTTTCTTAATTTTTTTATCTTATTTTACACCATCTTTACAATTTGTCATTATAGGACTATTTCTCCATTTCTTTACAATTATTTGAAATGTATAACACCTTGGTTTAATGACTATAATGTTATATTATTTTAATTGAAATATATAAAGTACATTACGAAAGTTTAAAATCACTTTGATGTTTCATACTTTTTTCGCTGTATCCACATATCCAATCTTTTTGATATTTTGCACATATGTAATGAGGAATACGAAGAAGAATATAGGCCACGCTAAATAGGTATTTTTTTAATAACATTGTAAATAATCAACAAACATAAAACTAACCTTTTGAGTGAGATTTTGGTAAGTATTCAGTTCTATAACAGTCATTGGAAATACTTCTCGTGGCACTTTGAGGCAAGTCCGACACATATTATTCGTATCTGATACACTATAACAATCCTTTCCATTCATTTTTATTTATTTTTACGAAGAAATACAAAATTCTGATCATAACAAAACAACACCAAAGTCGGTTTTTTCAAATAGTGATGTGTATTTGTTTGTTTGTTGACAGTTATTAAAAGTACGGTTTTTACTAGAGTAGTATTTTTAGTCGATTATTCATGAACGTTTTAAACGATTCATGCTGCTAACATTTAACAATAAGGTATTTATTCATTATTATTCATACATTGCGGGAGTGAGTAATTTGAGGAGTGTGTTTTTTACATTTCTTTTCATTAATTTTACTTCATCTTTATTACACACAAATCACGAAAACACCTCGTAGGAGAGAAGCGGGAAAATCAAATTCATTAACAAATATGGCACTATTCACTTTCCAGCTTTTTTTACGCAAGTCATCTCTTACATACTAAAAAGTTATCAAATATTGCAATGGATCAGTGTATTGTAGACTTCTTTAATTATCCTCCTTAAACAAGCCAAGCACTATCACAAATTCTTTTTTTATACACTTGGGAGCAAAAAAACAGAACCACCAGCATTTCTTCTTTTTCATTTATTAATGAAATAATATTTTGTGAATCTGATACAAGATACAAGTATTTTATTCATTGGTATGGCGTATAATAGGCAATTTAGTTACCTTCAAAGTAAGAGAATTTTTTAGTAAAAGGATTTTTTTTAAAGTCATTTAGGCTTTGGTAAAACCTAGGAAACGCTAGTGGCTCCATTTCTTAGCCCCAAGTGTATATTTTTACAGGATTACAGTACCGAATCCTGTAGTATTTTAATGGAATTAAATCATACAGCAAAATAATACTTTAAATATTTATTCATTTTTTCATTATCACATATACGGCATAGATAAATAACAATTATTGACAATAGTTCAATACAAATCAAATCAAATCATTTATTTGCATAAAATGTAAGTATTTACAAATAGATTGTAACAGATTTATAATATAGTGGCCGTATACATTTTGCCCGTTTATTGGCACGCAAAATATGGTACAAACTGTCAAACACCAAGCGGTCACCGGTGACCGCAACCTATTGTTCTATAATTGTGTCTATAATGACGGTACTCGACGAGTTAAAAAAAAACAAGAATATAATATTTTATACGCTTAATGTTCGACACCCTGTCCTGTTGTGATAAACACACGCCATCATCCAGACGCAGATCCATAAACCCAAATGACACCAATTTACGATGTTTTTACAAAAATTCTAAGGTTTTATTAACAACTCGTTGCCTCTTCTGTACCTACAAGAGGTTCTTCACAGTCCAGCAGTGGACTATTGATCATGATGGCAGACAATACGCTTGATTGCAAGCAAGACGACAAGACAAGTAGACGGATCACCTGATGGAAAGTAAGCGATCAGCGCCACCCATGGACCAGAGGAGTTACAGGAGCGTTGTCGGCTTTTTAAAAAGGAATACACCCTTTTCTTGAAGATTCAAATGTCACGAAGGATTATTCCACAGTATTGCTGTGCGAAGCAGAAAACTGCGTGAGAAGCGCACAGTTGTTGCCTGCCAAACTGCCAACCATCTATATGATGGGGATGCATATGTTGTCGTGAGGGTCGAGGGGCGAAAAGAAGCGGCAGGTATCAGGTCAAACAGTTTCTCAGAGCACTTCCCGTGGTATAAGCGATAGAAAGTGCACAATGCACACTCCTGTGTCGTGGGAGCGTTTACAAATACAAACATACAAGTTCACATACACATGACATACAGACCCGGAACAACAGTTTGTGGATCATATAAAGAGTTGTTCCGTGCGGGAATCGAACCCGCGGCACATTGCGCGGCATCCGGTTGTCTAGCTCTAGCCACCGCACCAACCGTGACGTCAATTTGTATTCGTATGTAGCGTTTTATTCAAATAAATAAATAAATGAATTATTTTTTTAATACAGCCATCGTGAATCAGCGCCTTTTACATTGATAATATGTACTCTAATCGAAATTCGATCACATTTTGAGTATTTTACGTACTTAGGTCTGTACGCCTACTTCGTATACATCTTACAGAACATTATTGCCGTTTCCATCCACGAACCTATACCATCACTTAACTAAGAGTTTCTTAGCGTGACGTGACACTAAACAAACTCATTAGGTACTTGCACTAATAGGTGTCACCAGTAGGTTGGTGATACCTAAAATCATGTTAATTATCACCTATCTTTATGAGAAGTTGGAGAAAGGTGGTTATAGTTTATATGTTTTATAATAACTATCCTGAGACATACTAAATTAACTAAAAATCTCGGGTTACTCACGTGGATATACTGAGAAAATCTCGTAGTTTCGAGTCACAGAGGGGCTTCGTCATGAGCAGCGTGCGCGGTCGGCGGCGATTTCGCACAGCTTAACTCGTCGAGTACCGTCATTATAGACACAATTATAGAACAATAGGTTGCGGTCACCGGTGACCGCTTGGTGTTTGATAGTTTTATCTACAGTAGAGCTTTTCTCGGTATACCCACGTCAGTAACCCGCGATTTTTAGTTAGTATAGTTTACATTTACATTAAAAATATAAGTAATCAGACAGAATGTTTAATAAATTAATTCTAGCAGTTCATTAAAATTATTAGGTACCTAAATCTAATATTACAATTTAATTATGACTTACAGCTATTCTTTACATAGTTTTATAATATAATTATTATAATGAGAATTTTCATCGCGATAGAAAAAAAAATGAGATTCTAAAACTTTTTTTTTCTTTTAAACTAATTACCATAGATTACCATATAACATCATAATAATTATGTATTTTTAAAGATCTTACTCATCATCAGAGGATTCAGAGTGCCTAGAACAAGTTTGTTTTTGTGTTAACCTGTTCAAAAGTCACCACGTATAGCGCTCTGATTGGTTCGTCAACTTTGAACAGCCAATCAGAGGACTATACGCGGTAACGTCAAAAGGTCCTCTGTGCCCACGTGCAAAATAAAAGAAAAAATTAAAAAAGAATGGAACACAATTTAAAAATGACAGAATAGGAATTTCTTTGGTTCTAATCACATGCCAACATATTCCAATCACATAGTTTGCTTAACCTTTTGAACGCAACGGTCGGATAAAGACGACAAGGAAAATGAAGTTTAAAAAAAAAATCTTGTTGACACTCGTAGCCTACGTGAGCCATTTGGACGATTACCTACCTCATTTTTATTTTAGAGGTGGCCAGTCGGCAATCGTGCAGACAGATCACACGATGGTAAGCAATCGGCGTCGCCCATGGCGGCCATGGCACCCGCAATACACAGGAGTTATAAATGCGTTCCTGGCTTTTTGGAGGTTAGGAATTTGAAGACTGTCGTCTACAACCGATAACGCTCAAAAAGTTAATAATTTAATAATACCAATATTTATATAACGTGTCGCGTACGCATCGCTGACGAACGGACGTGTTGGAGGTCACTCACCTCAATCGGCAAAATGACGTCTAATACAGTAAAATGCGCGAATTGTAATGTGGTGATAGATGAACTGTTGTCGTTTATTGTGAACAAAATAGATGTGATGGACCATGATAGTCTTTTACGTTTGTGCGTGACTGCTTTTAATTCCGAGGAAGTGGAGAAATCGAAGAAATTGTTATTCGATTCCATTACTACGGATATTCGAAACATAAAAAGGAAAGGGAAAGGTGAGAGCAAGATGCAAAAAGACCTGGATGATATAGTGATTGTAATTAAAAGTATTGACCCGGAAATAATGCCAGTTTTTGTCGCTAAGGATTTACAAAAGCTGCCACCTGTGACCTTTGACCATATTGATGTAACAGGTTTGTTAAAGAAATTGCTTTTAATAAGTTCCCAAGTGAAAGATATTCAAGAAAGTTATGTGTCAAAAGAACTGCTTGAAAGTAAGTTATCGAGTTTCACTTTAGACTCTGAGTCAGTAAAAGACAAAGAAAAAAAAATTGTTTACATTGCGGGTAGCGGGCCGGTGACATTGAAATCAGCTGTGGAGGTATCACAGGCGCAGGTACCATTAGACAAGGGCGGTCGTGGCCCATCTCACTCGCACCCACTGAGAACAGATGCGCACGAGTGTGAAAGTATGACAATGTCACCGAGCGATGACGCGCTTATCGATCAAAATGAGTTAGCGATACGTGCAGGAGAGAGAAAGCAGGATAAACTGACAGGTCTTGATGTAAACAATTCTGTAGCCACGGTATTGAATCGAAATGAAGAAAGATCACCACGGGAACAGACATCTTTTGTGGATGTGATTCGTAGGGACGATTTACAGTTACAGTCGGAACAAGCGGGTGAATGGGTGCAGGTAACTAGAAAAAAAAGAATACGCTCTCAAAATACAAATAAATTTGCAACATTGAAAGGCAAAGCGGATTTAGATCAAAATTGTAAGTTTAAGGCGGCTGACATCAAAATCCCCCTCTTCATCACGAATGTTCATAAGGAAGTCACAGAAGCAGATGTAGCGGAGTATATCAGGTCAAAAACCGCCGAGGAAGTTGCCCCTATTAAAATTAAAATGGCAAAGGAAAAGAACTATAGCGCCTTTAAGTTCTATGTGAGCAAAACACAAGTATGCACCTTTTTAAATGATAATTTGTGGCCGACTGGTATTTCGTTCAGGCGTTTTATCAACATGAAGGATCCAATGAGGCGTAGTTAAATAATTTTAATGGATAGATTGCGAAATACAAAAATCATCTCCTACAATTGCAAGTCTGTAAAGCGATCATGGGAAGGTCTTAAAAGTTTATGTGATAAGGGAGACATAATTGCCCTTCAGGAGACGTGGATTATGCCCCATGATTTACCGATGCTAAACAGGATACATGAGGAGTTCAGTGGTACGGGTACATCAGCGGTAGATGCATCAGCGGGTTTGCTCAGAGGCAGGCCATATGGAGGTGTGGCCATTTTGTGGAGAAATAAAGTGTTTAGATCAGTTACGGTGATAGACTGTGGAGATGTGCGGTTAACGGCCGTGAAAGTGAATTTAATTGACAAATCTGTGATTGTGTTTAGTGTGTATATGCCAACGGATTGCCTGGACAATTTACCCGAGTTCACACAATGTTTAGGTAAAATTAGTTCTGTAATGGAGGAGCATAATGATACTCCTACTGTTTATATATTGGGTGATTTTAATGCTCATCCAAACGAACTGTTTTGTGACCATTTAATGGACTTCTGTCGAGACCAGCAGTGGTCATGTGTGGACATGACGAAGTTGGGTGAGTCAGACACGTATACCTTTGTAAGCGAAGCCCATGGTTGTGCGAGATGGTTAGATCATTGCGTCGTAACTGAATCAGGGCTACCGGCTATTACTCGTGTGTGGGTGGATTATGACGTGCGGTGGTCTGACCATTTCCCACTTATACTAGAATGTGATTGGCAGCGTGTAGTATGTAGGGAAAGGGTGACGCGTGCTCTGGGCCCTAACAAGGTGTTGTGGGGTGAGCGTACACCTGACCAGATGCGGTGTTATCACGATATATGTCAGTCAGAACTCAAATACATTGATTTTCCGTCTCAATTATCGCAGTGTTGCGACGAGCTGTGTTCAATATCAGAACATAGGCGATTACTTCGGGACATGTACGTGAGGTTAGTTACCATCTTGACGGAAGCTGCAGTGGCTACACACTCGCGGGCGAGACGGCGGAGGAGGGGTGGTGACATTGCGGGATGGAACATGCATGTTAAAGATTATTATAAAGATGCTAGGTTGAAATTTTGTGCGTGGGCTGACGAAGGAAAAAAGAGGTATGGTGAAAGGTATGAGGAGATGTGTGAGAGCAGGAAGGCATTCAAGAAAAAGCTTAAATGGTGTCAGGATAGGCAAGAGCAAATTAAGATGGATAACCTTGCTTCTCATCATGCTAAAAAAGATTTCAAGCAATTTTGGAAGCAAACAAGTAAACTTAGCTGTAGACCTGGCCTACCTGTGAGTATAGATGGTATTAATGATCACATGGAGATAGCGAACCTTTTTAAGGAGTACTTTGAGATAAAACCACACCATGGTACTGTGATCACATCCAGTCAATCCGTAGAGTGTGGGGCTGTCAACCATCGGAGGTCGGTTCGGTTTACAGCTAAGGAAGTACGAGAGGTGATAAGAGGAATGGCTAGAGGCAAGTCTCCGGGGTATGATGGCCTCAGCATTGAACACCTCAAAAATGCTGGGGTTCATCTGCCCCGCATACTCTCCATGTTTTATAATTTATGTCTTTGTCATGGTTACTTACCGGAGGAATTAACTAAAACAATTGTCGTACCAATAGTAAAGAATAAAACGGGGGATATATCAGACAAAAACAATTATCGCCCCATATCACTGGCAACCGTAATCGCGAAGGTGCTTGATAGCCTGCTTAATAATATTCTTGTGAGACACATAAAGTTGCATGATGCCCAGTTCGGTTTTAGAGCTGGCCTTTCTACTGAGAGTGCCATTGTGTGTCTTAAGCAGGCTGTCAGGTACTACACGGACAGGGGGACGCCGGTATACGCGTGCTTCCTGGATTTGTCAAAAGCTTTTGACTGTGTTAGATATGACAAATTGTGGGGCAAACTGGCGAGTGCGGGTGTGCCGGTGGAAGTTACAGCGTTGCTGAAGGGCTGGTATGGTTGTCAGAAAAATCAGGTGAGGTGGGGAGAAGTCTTGTCGGAAGCTTATGGCATGGAGTGTGGTGTGAGACAGGGAGGACTCACCTCTCCTCTGCTGTTTAACCTGTACATAAACGACTTGATCGGCGAACTCAGTGATACACATACAGGGTGTCATATTGATGACGTATGTGTCAGTAATTTAAGTTACGCGGACGATATGGTGTTGCTGGGGCCGTCGGTGGGAGCGATTAGGAAGTTGGTGGCTATCTGCGAGACATATGCAGTGGAGCATGGACTGAAATATAATACAAAAAAGAGCGAAATTATGATATTTAAAAGTAAAAAAAACGCTCCATTTCATGTTCCGCCAATTATGTTGAACGGGGTGGCTCTAGGGATGGTGGCTAGCTTCAGGTACCTAGGACATATTCTCACTGAAGATTTGACGGATGATGCTGATTTGGAAAGAGAACGAAGGGCATTGGCGGTGCGGGGTAATATGATCGTTCGGAGATTTGCGCGTTGCTCGGTGGAAGTAAAAATACTTCTGTTTAAGGCATACTGCCAATCTTTTTACGCAAGTAGCTTATGGGTGAGTCATACTCGGCGGGCCGCGGATGTCATTAGAGTTCAGTACAACAATGTGTTCAGGATGCTGTTGCGGCTGCCTCGGTACTGCAGTGCTTCTGCTATGTTTGCGGAGGCGCGCACTGATGGCTTTCATGCAATTATGCGGAAGAAAGTCGCTTCTATTTTCATGCGTGTGAGGGGCAGTAGCAACGGCATCCTGAAGATGATTGCTTCACGTGCGGATTGCCCAATACAGCGGAGATGGATGGATATCGTGTTGGGGCTGTAGACGTCGATAATCTCTCGATCTCTGTACGGTCCAATCACGCGTGGCGGGTATCGTGTCTGATTCTCCAATGGTTTTGATTATAATTATTGTTAATTTTGACATTGTTGAGTTTTATGTTTTATTAATAGTGTGACTTTTATATTTTATTGTATTCCTTAATTTAAATTTTATTGCTTTGATGTTAGTTATTTTCTTCATTAATTATTATTATTCTGGCTGTATGGACTGTGTCTGACATTAAATGAATTATTATTATTATTATTATTATTATTATTAATATTTAGTATTAATCACGATTTTTCCCCAGTCCATTCATTTCGTATTGTACTTATAGTACTAAACCACACATAAGTCTTTTTTAAACACAACAACAGATTTTATTTTATAAACTTTAGCTAACTTTAACCTCTAGTGATTAATTAATTAATCTCTTTATTTATTACGTTCTAATGGCAATCTGTGGACAGTGTTGTGGGTTGCATTATTGCCCAAAATGTATCTTGTGTAAAGTATATAGTTAGTAAGACCTTATAATGTAACCGTTTCTGTTCCTCTAACCGAAAAAAAAAAATAAAAAAAAAACAAAAACCAATTTACTTCAATTATGTAAAATAATGTCACAGTAAAGTCTGCAGTTATTTAGCACAAAAAAGGTACAAAAATAAAGATTTAAGCTAAGGATACACTAGGGAACAAATTTCCTGAGACACATGTCGCCAGCGACGTAGGGATTTTTTTAATTTTTTTTTTAAGGGGGGAAAATCATCGAATGACTGCTCCCGCCTGGGTGAGGCGGAAGGGAGTGTCAGACTCTTACTGACAAAAAACCACCCCGTTCCTTCTCCTGCACGTCAAGCCGGAGCCCCGGTTACCCGTTAGGTTCTCCGCGACAAGCGACTTTGGGTAGAGTACCTAGCGCGACGATGCCGTCGACTTTGGTCGATATATCTGGCAACATCAACGTCGTTGTGGACGTAAGGCGCACGTTGCCGCAATATAAAATGTCAAGCGTGGATTTTACTTCCGGCTTTTAATGTTTTAATAAATAAAGAATATATGCAACGATATTAAATATTCCCAACACTGTTCCAACTTATACCTAAAGTGACGTGGCGCTGGAGGTAAATTAAAAGTTCAAAATCTTGACGGTTAAAAGGTTTAAAAACAACAACAGCGCCACTGTGTGAACTTGTCGTGTTTTAAAATTTAAATGTGATAAAATTTTTAAATTATATTATTATGAACATAACGATTATTAGATTTCAATATAAATTACAATTTAATTGTAAATTATGTATTTCAAATACATATACTTACTATACAGATATTGACATACATACATATAAAAATATTTGTTTTTCATCATTATCATCATCTACTGTGCATTAGTATAATTTTAAAATTACAATTTATTATACCACACCTTTAAAATAAAAGCATTCTTCAACGAATTTTTCATGAATTGAGATAATACCATCTAATTATTTTAGGATTTAAACAATCAATTCATATAAATACTCAATTCAACTTTTACTTTAAAGGTGAGATAATATTATTCATAGTGAAATAAATATCTACCTAATTTCTAACACAAAGAGAGCTACACTCCTCTATTTTCTTACATGCATAGGTACTTAATGACTTGACTGATTAATAGATACCAGCTTTTATAAATATAAATTTCATAATAAATGTAGGTACTATAAACAACAAAATTCTTATAATTTTGATAAATGTATTTATTTATTTCGCCTACCTAGGTAGGTGCCTAGTTAGTACCTACTAATAAAGGTGAAAAAAAACATTATAAATTGTTTTTCATAGTATATTTTAATAAATGTCTGACTTATAATTTCTTGTTAACATAATTATAGTTTTCATAAATAATTATTTAATGCTAGCCATTAATTTCTTATGAAAAATATGTCGATAATATAATAGCTGTCAAATTGTTATCGAATAATAAATACAATATACATATTTTTTTATTATTTTTACTTATTTTTTAAATATACTTGCTTACAGAGTCGTGTTATGCCCAAGGCAAACTAGGCAAGTGCCTAGGGCCAGGTTATAGAGGGGGCCGCGAGACGTGCGTACCTAACTCCCATAGAGTGGCACGTCAAATAAATTAAGGACACATATGGGTGCTTGCCTTTTTTATTATTTTTTTTTAATGGGAAAAATCATCGAATTACTTCTCCCGCCTGGGTGAGGCGGGAGGGAGTGTCAGACTCTTACTGACTAAAAACCACCCCGTTCCTACTCACTTCGAGCCGGAGCCCCGGTGACCTTTTACGTTTTCCTCATTTAGTTTATTTGCCCTTTTTTTTTAAGGGGGGAAAATCATCCAAAGACTGCTCCCGCCTGTGTATGGCGGGAGGGAGTGTTAGACTCTTACCGACTAAAAACCACCCCGTTCCTACTCCTGCACTTCGAGCCGGAGCCTCGGTAATATGTTAGGTTCTCCGCGACTCCGTATCAGTTTATTTGCCTCTCCTTACTAATATTACTTATTCATTATATAATCCCTCTCATAATTTCAATAAATTCAACTGTGTTTTGCCCTGCAATCAAATCTTAAGGCATCCTGCACCATAGTGGGATAGTTATAAATATTTTAGACCTTATAAACTAGCAATAAATATTATTTAATATCATAATTATGAGTCAAAGTCACTAAAACTAATATAGAATGTTCTTATTCATGTGCTTATCCCACGTTACTTGGTGGTCAGCGCAATATCCTGCAATAGGGTAGATACCTAATTTTTATTTTAATGTCCGTCTCGTAGATTATATTAAATCATTAGACACGTATTCTTTATTTTCTTACAAAACGAATACTTTCGACGATATATTGATTTGAAATGTCGCGTGACGTCACTTCTATGAACATTTTATACGTAGAAATGACGTTTTAGCCCTCACTCCTAAACTTTGATTCATTTTATCTAAGTACTATTTTATTATACGACAAAATAAAAAAATACGTGTCTAATATTTTTTTATTACCTAACTGACGGACTAAATAGAGTTTTAATTTTCATACCCTATCATCATATCCCAATTGTGATTTTGATTTTTTAGTATTCAATACCACATTTTCTTAAATAATAGGTATACCTGTCCTTTGTTTTTGGAAAATAAAAATTATTAATATTCATATAATTATGTCTTCTTCCATTCTCTCGTATTAGACGTCTTCACATAACAAACTTTTTTCTTACATATCATAAATCATTCCTCACACAATCTATCAGTTCTGTGTTATCACCCTTTTCTTTGGTTCTCGATTACATTTCCATCGTCCCATATTTAAACTTCGGATATAGACGACAGAGGTGCTTTTAAAAAAGGATTCGCTCTTTTCTTGAAGGTTTGATAGAAAAGGCTATATATTAAAGAAGGGCCAAATTAAAAGTGCCCTTAACCGACGAGCATGCATGAAAAGACTGATGAAGTTAAAGAGGTATGTAGGAATCGTAGCAATTGGCGTTCCATTGTCTCTACTCTACCCTCATGGGAGACAGGTGTAAAGGGAGATGGCATTTGGCCTCCATCTCGATGACGATGGAGAACGCCTACCTATGAGCAACCTGTTCACTCGTAAGTCGTATTTTTCAGGAAACAGATTCCGGCAAGAAATTTCACTCCTTAACTCCTTAGCTGCTCTCACAAGGAAACTCGAACTGAAACGCTTCGTGTGAATGAGTGGAATATACATATAAGGGTGGCACCCTGCCGAACGTCTGGTAGTACGATGGTGAATTTTTTTTATGAGATAGGCCGGTAAACGGGCAGACGGATCACCTGATGGTAAGCAATCGGCGTCACTCATAGACACCCGAAACACCAGAGGCGCTACAAGTGCGTTATCGGCCTTTTGGGAATTAGGAGTTTGAGGATTTTGTGGGATTTGGGGATTGGGGAGATGTAATTGTGGAAGGGGGTAATTGGGCCTCCGGCAACCTCACTCACACGACGAAACACAACTCAAGCGTTGTTTCACGTCAGTTTTCTGTGAGGCCGTGGTATCACTCCGGTCAAGCCGGCCCATTCGTGCCGAAGCATGGCTCTCCCAAAAAATATCGAGCTGATAAATCTAGTAATATCATGGTCTAGATTCGTGTGATCTTTCTGCATATTCCACAATCAGTTTATACTGTTAGTATTTAAAAAATATTTTCTTGTCAGCTAAGGTCGACTGTGGCAGATTTGCTCTTTTGTTTGTCGTCTATATCCGACAGTGGCGTTCAAAAGACGAAATTCAATATTTCCTTTATCGCATGATTATCATATCTTTATACTAAAACACTACCTTTTAGCACAAAACTAAATTACAATAAAAAGTATTTTAAAACTAGACATGGGAGCAACGAAACGGAGCCATTAGCGTTTTCATCATTTTATCAAACCATTTATAACTTAAAAAAATAATTCACTTACAACAAAATGCTGTCATTTGAAAGGTACCTGTCTAAAATTGCCTTTTATACGACACTGTGACTCCGTTCATTTGCAAAGTATACATATTACATACTAAAACCTAGACTTACTCAACCGAAGACTCCGAACAGATATGATTCACAACACCCATAGGACTTCTAAACTTCTTTTTACATTTATCACAGACTTTTTTCAATACCAGACCGTGGATCTCCTTAAAATGCCTCTTCAATTTCTTCCTTGTATAAGGCTCCGAGCATAAACTACACTTTAAAGGCTGTGTGCGGTTTGTTGGATACAATAAATGAAGATCTATTTCTTCAGGGACAATCTCCGTAGGTTTAATAGTAGTTCCTTCATTTAATTTCTGTACAGCAATCATATTGTTGGATAATTTAGTCATTTTTGCTAAGAAATCAGTGTTTAGAACTTTTTCAAACCAAATCTGATTGATGTTTTGCGTTTCATAGTACGGTCGGAAGCTTTTGAGGTTGAAATGCTCTCTCCGTATATGGTATTTCAGTAGGCAGTTGTAATGAAACTGCTTTTTGCAGGCTACGCATTTGTGCTTTGTGTTGTTCCTGGAATTGAGACAAAATTTTATTAATGGTGACCACAGAGAAGAATATATTTTTCACTAACCCATCTTCTTCTGTGGGTATTGTAAGGAGTAAGGAACTTCATATTAAAGCTGGTAGTAGCACTCTCTGATAAACATAAATTCTTTTTTTATAGTTTTGTTTTTCTCTACAGACTTATGTCCATACCCTTGTCATTCATATATGGTTGCATGCTCTTTTTGCTTTTTGTTTCTAGTTTTACTTTTGGTCTACTAGCCTTATGTAGGTAAGCATTTGTTTTTTCTTAAGTTAAAAATACGGTCAAACACTGACTTCCATCATACAGGTCTTTAATTATACTAAAATTTATTGTAATTTCTTTGTAATAAAATTTTATTCTACACTATGGTTTGCCCATAACATCCCTTGAATTCTTTAAAAATTCTAACTTTATTAAGAATTAAATTTATCAAAATAGCCCTCCCCCCAATCTCCCCGCACCCTGAATCCCCAACAATCCTGATTCCTAATCTCCAAAAGCCCAGTACTGCTCTTGTAACGGCTCTGTGGTTCCTGGCGTTCATGGGCGACGCTGATTGCTTGAAGCAAAAATTTGTTTACCGGCTTATCCCATAAAAAAAATTGATTCAGTTGTTTAGGTTCAGAACCTTAAAAAACACTTTTTAGTCAAATATAACATTTTTATTTTCATGTAAATCAAGTAAAAGTCAGGACTGAAAGAAAAAAAATCAATAGTCCACAAAAACTATTTTTTATAATAAATGTCTTATAAACAATTAAATTCTTATAATTTTGATAAGTAAATGTATTATTTATTTCGCCTATCTAGGTAGGTGCCTAGTTAGTACCTACCTACTAATAAGGTAAAAAAAAATATAGTGTTTCATAATAAATTTTAATAAGTACTTATCATTTTTTGTTAACATAATTAATTATTTATTGCTGATCATTAATTTATTACGAAAAACATATTGATAGTATTAAAGCTCTCAAATTGATATCGAATAACAAATACAATCTCTTTTTTTTCTTATTATTTTTCTTTTAATTTTACAAACACAAAACAAAATTATATGAATATATTTTGCTCAATGAGAAGAACTTTTTTATTATTATTTTTTACTAATAACACAATGACGATGCTACGTGGGCATTTGGTACAATCAATAAATTTTTATTGAGATAACTATGTATGTACTTAATGTGTACTCACTTTTTCATTTTGAAATTATGTTTTATAGTGCACCGATAGTAAATGTGAAGTTTTATAGCTTCGTGGTTGATTTACGAAATCCATTTTACATAAAACGAATATTCAATAAAAATAACTTTCTCTTCGCCGCTATGTTTACAAATACAACAAAAAAAAACTAGTGTAACAGCCGTCGCTGTGACTGTGACGTCATCGTGTTTTCAAACTGTCAAGTAAAAAAATGAGCGAAAATTATGGGAAAGTGAAAACAATAACGCTAAGACTACGCTATTAGAAAACTTGACAATATAAGAATGTGAAAACTCGTATCATATCGTTACATGTTAAGAACGTAACAATTAACATTAATTATTGTTAATTAATAATAAAATGAAACCTATTTAATATTAATTTAGGTTTAACAGGATCAATAATTATGTCATTCCTATTCCTAAAGTTTGCTCTTTCCAATCCAATCAATAATTAGTTATCTGTGGTGAACTGTCAGTGTCAAAATCAAAATCTATACAGTCAAATTGGTTGTCAACATTAGAAAATTATCTTCATTTGTTATTATTATTTCATTTAATTTTAAATTCAAGAAATATTAGTTAGTTATGAAGTAGTGAATTTAATACATAACAAATATGGGGAAACACAAAATGATTGCGAAAAGTTGTCCGAAATGCGAGTTACAGGTCAGTAAATACATCGATTTTTTTCAGTTGTTTTTTTACACGTAGATGATTAACTATAGGCATTTTTATAGAAATCATAATTTGTCAAAATTTTAAAATTGTTCTAAATTAGACTTTATGTGATTGTGTTAAAGTTTGGTTTGCCAAAGAATAGAAAATGATAGTCATTAATTTTTTTACGATTTAAGAGCCGTCATGGTTGAGATATCTTTGAAATGGATTCTGAGATAATATTATAATTGTAAATTTAACTACGGTTGGAGTGTAGTAAACGGTGTGCAAGGAGTTTATCAAAAATGAGAATTATTATAAATTACTGGTTTTTCATTAGTTCTATTGTTTAATATACCTAAAAATAAGGAGAAAATCACCTATCAGTGGATGTGTAAGCTATAAGTACGTATGACCAATACTTAATAGTTATTTTTTCCTTTTTAGTTTTTACTTTTAGTTTGTGTTTAGTTTTTAAGTCGTTTTTTTTTAAACACAGTTTTTTAATTTTATTTTACACTTTTTAGTTTAGTACTTTGATAAATTATAATATTATACCCAACTCACATGGATGCAAAGTTCTCATCAATAGAAATTATCAAACTGAAACACAAAGTACCTACTGGTAGCCGCCGAGGAGTTCCCTCAACTTTCATACTACTTCATCATTGGACCCTTAATGACAATCACATCCCATCTAGGTGTAAAGTCCTCATCAATACAAATTATCAAACCCCAACACAACATAGCTACTGGTAACCGTTGAGGACTTCCCTCAACTATCATGCTACTTCACCATCAGACCCTTATTGACAATTACACTAAACTGAGGTGTAAAGTTCTCATCAATGCAAATTAATCAAACCCAAACACAAGGTAGCTACTGTTAACCGTTAAGGAGTTCTATCAACTACCGTACTACTTCATCATCAGACCCTTAATGACAATCACATCCCATCTAGGTGTAAAGTCCTCATCAATACAAATTAATCAAACCCAAACACCAGATAGCTACTGTTAACCATTGAGGAGTTCCCTCGACTGGTTCTCGGCTCCATCATCAGATCGAATCCAGACCTTTATCAGATGGTAGTGGCTATTAATACTTAATGAAAAAATTAACAAATGCACTAGTTGCCCCTATAATATTTTAAAGTTCCTCTCGGTTTCCCTGGTTTTCCATCATCAGATCCTGATTTCCTTTCATAGGTAACATTCTGGGACTACATATCTCCTTTCCAACAAAAAAAGAATTATCGAAATCGGTTCATAAATAGCGGAGATATCGGCGAACAAACATAAAAAAGCATATATACGGTCGAATTGAGAACCTCCTCCTTTTTTTGAAGTCGGTTGAAAATAAGGTGAAAACCATCTCAATCACTTCTTATCTAGGGCTTTAGGTTCGCCTGAAATTGAGCCCTAAACTCTGACCTTTAATAATCCTGCTACTATTGTATAATATTGAATGCCTCGTTGGCCGAGTGGTCGCAAGCGCGACTGTCGGGCAAGGGGTCTCGGGTTCGATTCCCGGGTCGGGCAAATTTACTGGCTTTTTAAAAAATCTCAGTAGTAGCACGGAGTCTGGAATTGTGCCCGGTATATGGCAACAGGCTCACCCCCTATTACATGGGACTCATAACATAAATAGTGAAAAGTGGGTGTTACATTGTACAGTGGCATAATGTGCACCTCTGCCTACCCCTTCGGGGATAAAAGGCGTGATGTTATGTATGTATGTGTATTGTATAATATTAAAAAATATATATTTTTGGAGACCACATTGCCATGTAGCATCAATACATAGTATAAAACAAAGTCGCTTTCGCTGTATGTCCGTATGTATGCTTAGATCTTTAAAACTACGCAACGGATTTTGATGCGGTTTTTTTTAATAGATAGAGTGATTCTTAAGGAAGGTTTGTATGTATATACATATTGCACCCGTGCGAAGCCGGGGCGGGTCGCTAGTTATAAATAAAAATTAATGTAGGTTTGCAAAGGTGGACAATGTCTTGTACTCTGCTGTTACGTCTCGACATAGTTATGCTTAATTACTTCACATCATCACATCAACAGCCTATAAATGGCCACTGCTGACCAAAGGCCTCTTCTTGCACAGAGTACGTTTGAGCATTATTCACCACGCTTGCTTGATGAGGATTGGCAATTGCAAACTTATAGTTTTAAAACTATAAGGCTAGATTTCCTCACGATGTTTTCCTTCACCGTTTGTCAGTGGTGTCTAGATAATCTTAGAAAGTACAATAAGTCACAATTACTTTTGACTGCACGGTAGGTGCATTGGCTTTGCAGTATAGTATTTTTTTTTTGTTAATTTTGTTTCTGAATTGTATTCATTTTTATTTCTTATATTTGATTACCTAATTAGTTTGTTTTTAAGTACCTACATAATAGTATTTATATGTATGAGATTAACAGTATAACTTAATGGCGTAAGCTGTAGTGTTATATATGTAAAGTTTCTAAATAAATAAATAAATAAATTGGTGACTGCACGGTTGGCGCGGTGGTTGGACAACTGACTGCCGCGCAACGTGTCGCGGGTTCGATTCCCTCACGGAACAACACTTTGTGTGATCCTCAGGCCGTTGTTCCCGGTCTGGGTGTCATGTGTATGTGAACTTATATGTTTGTAAACGCACCCACGCCACGTTACCGGAGAAAATCCGAGTTTGGAGCAACGTTTTAAAAAAAAATAAAAAATAATTACGA